ACTCTACTGCCGCCCGCGCCCCGCCCCATCTGGCCGCTTGCCCGCCCCATCCCCCCTCGATGGGGCCCGCCCACACCGGGGCCTCCTCCCTCCCGCCCACTGCTTTCTCAACGGCCCCGAGCCGGGGCTGCCCTCATTGCATACATAGTGCGCCTTTCCCTGCTTTTCTAGTGACCTAGCGTTCCGCACTGCCGTTTGGCCAGCCCATGCTCCCGTACCGTTGCGTTTCTCCCCAATGCGCCATGCCACTTTGCCAGTCATACACACGTTTCGATGCGTGCCCTGTCAGCTGCTTGCGTTGCATGTCGCCTTGCTCCACCCCTGTTTTATTGCTTTCTCTGCTTTCGCCCGGTTCCCGTCCCGTTTCGGCGGGGAGTCTATGTTGCAAGCTAGTTCTTGCTTTACCAGACTTTAAGCCCTGTCTGTCTGTCTCTGTCTGTCTGTCACCTTCCACCGCCCCACCCACGCACCGGGGCTGTCGTGCAGGCCGTGCGTGTGCAGGTTGGTGTCTGCCGGATCCCTCCACTCGTTGAAGACGCCCCCGCTGCTGTTGGCGGCCACCGACATGTTGTTGGCCAGGTAAATCGTGTACGAGTCGCCCGCCCGCAGGCGCAGCGTGGGCCCAAACAGGTGCACCTCGCCGCTGTCGCCGTCGCGGTAGAAGGAGTTGGTGAACCGCAGGCCGCTGCTGCCGTTGAAGGCCTGCAGGGGACAGGGCAGCAGCCGGGTGGGCACACGTTGCGTGCTTGCTGCTACAGGAGTGAGGAGTGTGCTTGGCGCCACACCACAAACCATGATGCAGGGAGGCTGCGGTTCAGCGTTGGCTGGCAGGCCGAAGCAGGCATACCACGAGCGTGGCGGGAGTGAGGGTGATGTTGATGATGGGGCGGAGGGCGGTGGGCACCAGCAGGTCCCGGCCTGGCAGATCCTCCAGCCGTCCCAGGGAAAACTGGACGATGGGCAGGTCAGCTGGGTCTGGCACATCAAACTCAACCGCCGCGGCGGCGGTCGGCGCGGGGCATCCGCCGCTCAGCTGTCTGTCTGTCTGTTACACCCATAAGGAGCAAATGAATGCTACGGGCCCAGCTGTGGTGCCAAACAGCTGGAAAAGTATGCACCAACACAAAACACATGAGGGAAGAGATTCAGGTATGGGGGGTAGAGTTGTACACAACATTGCAGCAAATACAAAACCCACCCAAAATTATAAGCTGCATGCCCCAAGCAATACACACGGTGGGCATCTGCATAAAGATAGCAAGAGGCATTTAATGAAGCGCCGGATAAGCTCAACCCCGGGCCAGCCGAGCCGACCGCCTGGGCAGGGCCGTCAAGACGTGCCCAGGGGCCACCTCGACTGGGGATGGGGCACGAGATGAGGGTGTGGAGGTGGCGGCCTCCGCCTGGTGCCTCGCCGCCGTCTCCCGCCGCTGGCGTCGCCGCCGCGCAGTTGAGGATTCGGGCCGCTCGTCTGCCACAGGCGACTTGGGGTTAGGCGGGGCAGCAGGCGTGGCCGCCGCTAAAGGAACCACGGCACTGGCCAAGGGCGGCCACTGTGCCGCCGGTGGTGAGGGCGGTGACACGGTGGGGGCCGGCTGCTGCGGGTGGGGGGCCGCGGCAGGGGTGGCGTGCGCACGTGGTGGCTACTCGCCGCCGCCGTCAGGCGGCGGCGGTGGCTGCTGCTGCTGCTCCCTCCTGCCGCCGTCGGGCGGCGGTGGTGGTTGCTGCTGCTGCTGCTGCACCGTGCCGCCGGCAAGCGGTGGCGGTGGCGGCTGCTCGCCGCGCCTCCCGTTCGCGCAGCTCGCTGGGGCTGAGGACGGGCCCAAGGGTGATCCCAGTACCCTTGAGCCGCTTGCTGCCAGCCAGCACAGTAGCAGCCATGGCGGCGGGCAGCGACGCCTCAAGCGCCATCCGCCCATTCCGCGTGATCCACACCCGCTGCACCCGCACGCCGCTGACTGACATGCTGTAGAAGGCGTGCAGCCAGCCGCAAAGGCGTCTGCAGGCATGCTCGTGTGTGGGAAGGCATCCAGCGGCAGCCTCCGCTGCCAAGCCGGGGAGCCCTATCACCGCAATCTCAGCTGTCTGCTCGCCTGTGGGTGGCGCTGGGTCCCGCGCAGGCTGCAAGCTGCCCTCGAGCGGCACGTGCCGAACACTAGGTTCGGCATGCCGCGGGGGGCGGCTGTCGCCGCCGGGCCGCGCCTCTACCAGGCGCTTCTCCACCCATCGCAGGAGCACGAGGAGAGCTGCTGCCGAGAACAGGCCCAGAAACAGGCCGACGGCCGCTGCCACTGCTAGCGCCTCTGAGAGAGTGAAGGAGACGACTGTGTCGAGCATTCTGTGCAATAACTGTGCAAAACTGTGAGGTAGTTCGCGTTTACTGTCAGCAGCGCAGCCAGCGCCAGGGCGAGAAGGAGCGAGAAGGAGCGGGGAGGGAGCCATGGTGGCAGCAGGTGACAGCTGCCACTTGTGAGTCTTCAGGGGCTTGCAGGTCCTGTGATTGTTCGGCCGATTGGCCTGCAGGCACAGAGCCAACCTGCAGGCACAGGCGGGAGGTTGGAAGCGGGACGCTGCCGAGCTGCTCCTTCATTGAAAGAGGCACCACCAGCATGCCCTCCCAATCTGGTAACCCATGAGAGGGCAGGGAACAGCAATGTGAAGACATCAGCAGTGGATAAAGAGTGGCACAGGCAAGCTGCTGGGCGGTGGGCGCCGCCTGGGCGCCGCCACACGGAGGCCCACCTGAATGCCGCGGCTCAGATCGGTAGCGGCACAGCTCTCACACGGCCTGCAGCCACCAGGGCTCAGGGGAGGTTGTCTAATTCAGCTGGGCACGCGCACGTGCGCTCCGCCAGGGCTTTATACGAGGGCCTGGGCAGCGGCCCTCCTTGGCAGCCGCAGGCACGGGAATACACTCGCAGTGCGACACAGGCCCAAACAGCAAGCTACGTAAACGCAAAGCCAGTTCACAGAGTGGCTGTCGCGTTCAGAGGCCTCTGGGCGTTCCTGATCTCAAGACACGCCGCAGATCACGCTGGGAGTGATGTGCAATTGCCAGCGGAAGAGGGAGTTTCTTCCTTTTGCTCGGAGATGCCGGTTCCTTCCCCCCTCAGGGCTGCTGGCCCACCTACCCCGCACCTTCATGTCATTTCCCATGTCACCATGAACACCCTGGTGATGTCCATGCTGCCAAGGACCCCTTGATGCCATCTCCATTAAGAGCTGACAAGAATTGGAACAACCGCCGGTCCGGGAGGCAGCTCATCCCAGCCTGGCATCCGCCGGGCAAGGGCTCCCGGGGTGAGATCCAGGGATTTCCTCCCCACAACAAGAGCTGGGACAGCACAGAGCTTACAGAGAGGGCCCAAGCTGCCGCTACTCCTGCAGGCGCCGCAGGAAGTCTGGCGCCTCCTGCAGCACCCAACTGCCGTCCCCCGCCGCCTCCAGCACGTGCGTGTGGAACGCCGCCAGCTGCCTGCGGTGCGCGATGCTGATGAAGCAGGCGCAGTGCTGCTGCAGGCGGGTGTACAGCGCACGCTCCGTGGCCATGTCCAGCGCTGCACGGATGGAGGCAGGGGCAGGGTGAGGTGGGGCGGGAGCAGGGAGGCGCCCGATGCACAGCTCTGCAGCACCGGCTGGAGCGCAGGGCAGAGGTGCGGAGGGCATCCGAAACGCAGCCTGCGGCAGCAGCACCAGCTGCCGGGCCCACCACTCATCCGCTCATCCGTCCGCCAAGCAGCAGGCGCAGGCTCAGGGCGGCTCAGCGCGCCAGGCAGGCGCCCAGCCATGCAGCCACCCACCCACCGCTGGTGGCCTCATCCAGGAATGCCACCGCGGGCCTGTGGTGCAGCAGGCGCGCCACCGACACGCGCTGCTGCTCCCCCAGCGACAGCATGTGCGCCCAGTCCAGCTCCGCATCCAGGCCGCCCACCCTGCAGGTCAGGGTGCAGGGCTGTGATGCACTCACGTGCAGCGGTGTGGCCACTGCGCCCTTTGCTCGCAAGCATGCAGCGGCCAGCCAGCAGGCGCGCAAGGCGGCGGCCAGGGCTTGGGGCGGGGCAGCTGCATCTGGCCAACGCCTGGCTGCCGCAGGCGGCCGGCCTTGGCCAGGAGCGCATTGCCTTACCTGGCCAGCAGGCTGGGCAGGCACACCGCCTCTAGCAGCCCCTGCAGCTCCGCATCCAACGCAGGGCTGCAGGCAGGGCTGGCCAGGCCGCTATCCAGCATGGCGCCGCCCTCGGGCAGCGGCTTTCTCCTGCCACCGCTCAGGCGCCGGTACCCGCTGCCGGCCACGCCCCGCAGGCTGGCCGCACGCCGCGCGCCGCCGGCCGCCCGCGGCGCCCCCTCCCCCTCCCCCTCATCCTCCCCGCTATCGCTGTCGCCGCCGCCGCCGTCGCCGCTGCGCTTGTGGCCGATGCCGCCGCCGGCTGCGGCCGCGCCGTCCTCGGCGCTGCCGCCGCCGCCGCTGCTGCCGCTGGCGGGGCGTGCCGAGGCTGCCACCTCGGCATATGAGTCTGGGAAGGTGAGCTGCTCTCGCAGCGTGCCCAGCGGCATGTAGGGCCGCTGTGGCAGGAAGAACGTGTCTGCCGGGGCGGCAATGGTGCCGGAGCCCGCGGTCCACAGGCCTGCCAAGCAGGAGCACACAGGGTTGGGCATTTTGGGTGGCGAGCTGGTGGCCAGTCCTTGGAAGAGCAGCCCGCTCGACTTGCCATGCCACCTCACCGCATCTAACCGTGCGCACCACAACGCACCTGCCACCGCCCGCATGATGCTGGTCTTGCCCACGCCGCTGGGACCCACAATGAGCAGGCTCTGCCCCGCCTCTAGCCTCAGGCTCAGCCCCTTGCACAGCGTCTGCTCGCCGTGCGGCGTGGTCAGCGTGAGGTCGCTCACCTCCACGCTGCCACCCGTGCTGCCCTTCCTGCACCAGCACAGTTCGGCAGCACAGACGCGCAGCGCGCGTTAGCATGGGCAAGCCTGAAGTGAATAGCAAATGCTGCTGCTTGCTTGCTGCTGATGCTGTACAGCAGCAGCGGCGGCGGTATACACAGCGGTGGCAGGACTGTGGGGGCGATGGATGATGCTGCTTCACCCGAAGCAACGCGGAGCAGCCTCCCTCCCAACAAGCCTGCGGCGGCGCACCTGCGCACGCCGCCGGGGGCGCCCTCCGCCTGCGCCACCAGCGCCGCCAGCAGGGCATCCAGCCGGTCTGTCTGCGCCGCCAGCTGGCTCATGTCGCTGAGGTGGGTGATAATGTAGCTGAGGGCGCCCTCGATGCTGCATGGGGTGGTGGAGATGGCGGGGGCGTAGTGAGGTGGCAGTAGCACTGTGTGAATACGCGCGAGGCGGCAGAAACAGAGGAGCAGCAAGGTTGCATGCGAGTCGCGGCGGCAGCAGTGGCACACATCCGCATGCGGCTCGGCACAGGCCGCCGGCGGGGCGGCAGGCTGGCGAGGGCACTGACGCGTGGAAGGCGAAGCTGGCCTGGCTGATCCCCCCAAACCGGATCTCCCCCGCAAAGTAGCGCTTGGAAAGCAGCAGGGAGGGCAGCAGGATGGTGGCGTACCTGCGGGGGGCAGGCCGCACACGCACACGGCAGGCTGGTCGGGCGGGCACCGGCGTGGCAGGACTGGCGGCAGGGGCACAGGCGCGCATCCCTGGATGCATGGGCGCGCGGCATCTCTTGAGAGATGTGAACGTAGCCTGGCCCGGCATGGCATGGGCAGCAGGGCTCACGTGTAGATGTTCTGCCAGAGCGACAGGTAGGCCTCCCACCGCACCTGCACAACATGTCCAGTGTGGCCCGGGAAGAAAGAAGCGAGCAACATACAGCACAAGCAGCAGCGGACGCAGCAGGGCAGGCAGGCCCATGGGCCCCGGCAATGGCCATGCCTCCTGTAGGCAATGGGCCACAAAGCTCGCCTTTCCAAAAATAGTGGCGATGACTCGTGCCAGCCTGGCGACCGCCAGCTCGGCCTCGCGTTGGTCGCCGCTGTAGAACGCGATGCTCTCCGCGTTCTCCCGCACCCGCACCTGCAGCAGGCCAGGACCAGACGTGGGGGCGGGTGCCGCGAAAACTGACTCCTCCCGCAAGCAATGGCAAGGGCCAGCACGTGTGCAGGCATTGCATTCCAACGCGCACTCTGTCAGGTGGCAGAGCAACCGACACCAGGCGCAGCGCAGGCAGCAGGAGGCTGCCCTGCCCACCAGTGCAAAGCGAAGATCCGCCTCTCGCTGCAGCACAGAGTAGGTGAGGCGCATGAGGCGGCGCCCAAAGCCCGCCGCCGTCACCCAGGTGCCGCCCACGGCGTAGAAAATCAGGAAGACGGCCAGCTGGGGAGCCAGCGACCACAGCAGGCCTGCAGGGCGGCACGCAGGGGCACGGAACATCAGCCATGCGGCGGCTGCCGCCAGCCACTACCCCCGCTTCGCCGAGAGGGGCGCCCTGATGGGCAGGGCAGCCAGCTCGTGGCACAGCGGCCCCGGCAGCACAACGGCAGACTCTAGCCATGTCCAGCCGCCCACCCGGCCACCCACCTGCAAATGCCACACACATAAATATTTTGCGCATGATTGAGACGGAGAGCATGACTGAGGTGGCGGTGTAGGCGCGCACGTCCTCACAGATGCGCTGCAGCGGCGGGAGAGGAAGTCAGGGGTTGGAGCTGCAAGCGGGCACCAGGCAGGTGAGCCGGCCGCAGCGACAGGGCGGCAACGACGGGAGGCGAGGAATGGGATCGTCCCCGAGCTGCGGTGGCGTGCCTGGTCGGGGTTGTCGATGGCCTGCGGGTCGATCCTCAGGCGGAAGTAGGCGTGGCCGGCAAAGTAGGCACTGCGGGGGGAGCCAGGGCAGGCGCACGGTGAGGCGGCTGGGGCCGAGGGAGCGGCCCAGGCACACACGGCGTGCGCCGGCGGCACACATGCCAACCCGTCCCGGCCTTGTGCCGCCAGCAGGGTAGGAGTTTGCCCCGCGTGCAGCGCCCACGCGCGTGCGGCGCGCACCGGATCATGTGCTGGGTGAGCCACTTGCGCCAGGCCACCGTCAGGCAGCTGTCGACGTAGTCGGTGAGGGCAAAGAGCGGGGCAGCCACCACGATGATCAGCACAAAGTCCCAGACGGCGGCATGAAAGCCAGCTGCACGCGCGGGGGTGCAGGTCAGGCAGCGAGGAGGGGGTATGGAGTCGCACGGGGCGATGGGGAGAGTGTGTCTGGGCGTGGGCGGGCCGTGCCGCCGCCGGCGGCAGCCTCGCGCCGCCCGCTCACCCTGCTGCTTCTCGGACAGGGATGTTTGCAGCGCGTTCTGCACGTAGCTGATCCACAGCAGCAGGCCCACGTTGGTGATCGACAGCGCCACGCAGGCGGCCACAAACGCCCAGGCGCGCCGCCGCTCGCTGGGGCAGCGCCACCACAGGCGCGCCACGCCCGCCCATCGCTGCAGTACTCGGCGCAGGTCGCTGCTGGGCGCCATGACGCTGCCCTTGCCCTGTGCGGTGACCAACACCGACTGCAGGGGAGCACCCTGCACCTCCATCTCCTCCCAGGAGTGCTAGCGAGGCAGGCAGGCTTGCGATCGCGAGGCCTCAATACATGGCAGCAGAAGGGGCGGTGGGTGTCCGATGGGGTGTGCTGGCACCAAACCGACAGTACGCCACCTGGCGGCGGGCTGTACCTCCTCCCCGCCGCCTGCAGAAGTACCTTGGCCGCCTGACACAGGAAGATGTGCAACTGCAAGCTCATGGTAACCGGCAACCCACCGCCTGAGCTCTCTCTCTCGAGCCGTGGCGTGCGCCCGGGCGGCAATAGTGCGTCGCCTGCGGCCGTGGGACACAGCAGTGCATGCCAGCATCCCATGTTCCCTGCGCAGGTAAGTGTTTGGATCGTGATTATTCCTGGTAGTGAGCACAGGCGCTATTAAATCGATTGCAGTATTGATTGAAAGTTGGCATGGCCCAGCCTAGCCAGAACCGCCCACATGGCGGCGGTGGCACATGGCCAAATTCCCCTCGTGGGCGTCCAAACGGGGCAATCGTCCGCTTGCCCTGTCCCGCCGTCTCAAACAGCACAAATAATCTTCCTGCAGAGAAGGAAGGCTCCTGAGGAGCCCCGCAGAACCAGCGATGTCATCCTTGAGAACGGCCTGGGAGGCTTTTGCGGGGTTTGCGGGGTTCGCGCATGATCCGTTCAGAAGGTTAAACAGGGCCGGGGGGTTGGGCGGTTGCAACCGCGGTTGGCAATCCTCCGTCTGGTTGGCGGCAGGGGGGTGGCGCCGACGGCGGCAGAATCGGCAATGCTCTGTCTCGGGTAATGGTACTGAATCACCACCAATGCATGCCCTGCCGCAGTCTGGTCAACGAGAGCGGGGCCGACTATGACAGGGCGGCCTACCTGATCATCTCCTGGCCGATGTTCCTTTTGCTGCTTATAAAGCACGCATGGAAGGATGGGCAACCAGGTGCCTGACTGCACCAGCCACTTGCAGTGCTGGACAGGAGACATGTCCAATTTTCTTCTCTTCGCCAATTTCGCTTTCTCAGGATGTGAATGTCTGCACTTGTAGTCCTGGCGCTGCGCCTCACTACCTGGCCTCTGGCTGCCCAGTGCCTGGCGGTGCTGATCTCCCGCAGCCGCTCCACGTATGTGCGCCGCCGGGAGCTGTTCTGCTCCGCCTGCCAGGTCGTCGCCGTACTTAACACGATGCAAGGATGTGAGCTGTCGACTGTCGCATGCTCGACGTTTTAGCTGCTGAATTGCTGCTGCTGGGGCTGCCCTTGCTCACCTATGATGATCATCACCTTTGAATCCAACCTCCCTTGCTCCCTCCCTCCCTCCCTCATGACGCAGCACTCGCAATGGCATCCAGCGTAATTGAATGGCACGGGGGCAGCCCGCTGCGCCTGCTGGCCTCCATGGCCGTGTGGAACGCCACACTGGCAGTGGCCACGGGAGCGCTCTACTTCCGCCTGGTGCTCAGCTGGTGCAGGGTGTCGCTGCCGCTCATCATGCTGGTGCCGCTCTGGTTCGGGCGGCCCCTGTGCCGGCGCCTGCTGGAGGCCCCCGACATGCGCCAGCCGCTGGCAGAGCTGTACTCCCTGCTGGGCGCCATCCAGTGAGCAGCACGCCGCAGCTGCTCGTGGGCAAGCAGATGTGGGCAAGCAGCAGCTTCTACCTTGGCACTGCGATGCAATGGCTGAGTGACCACCCCCTCTGCACACACACACCACTCTACGACCCTGCCACTATTCTCCAGCCAGATCACCCACCACCACCCTGCCCGCTCCTGCCCCCCTGCAGCACCGCCGCGCTGCACGAGAGCACGGCGGTGACGTGGCGGCTGCAGGGCCCCATGGAGGAGTGCCTGGTGCTCAACTCCTGGATGCTGCTGGCGGCGGGGGTGGCCATGCCACTGGTGGTGCTGTTCCACCTGGAGCGCCAGGCGCGGGCCCGGTTTGAGGGCAGGCACCAGCAGGAGCAGGAGCAGGAGCAGCAGGACCCAGACGAGCTTGAGCCCCAGGCGCTGCGCTGGCCCCAAGCGCCCGCAAGTGGCTACCTCGGACCCAGCCTGACGCTGTACCTGTTGAGCTGCATCATCTGGACGGTCGCCACGACGGTACAGGATGCCAAGAGAACCTGGGGGGCGCCGCCGCTGCCGAACGACACGACTCAAATTGCCTAAGCTCACTTGTTTGGTATGTTTTTTCGTATTTAGTTAAATTGATCACCATATACACCTTAATTGATTGATTTATCGATTTCAAGAACTTGCGATGTTTATCCCAATGCCTGCCGCTGTTAATCTCGCGGGCGGGCGGCCCAGCAGGTAGGCCTCCCGGTAAGGATGTGCCCCATGATGGGCATGATGGCCCCCCACCTGGAGGGTCATTGGGGACATCATCCTCAATCATGCATCATTCTCCCTCCCGTTTGTTCTGTTGGCATCCCAGCAACCCCAATATGCTTTCTAGGACATGAGCCAGCACTTTACGGTGAAGGGTGGTTAGCTTGAGCTTTCTAGGACATGAGAATGATGCATGATTGAGGATGATGTCCCCAATGACCCTCCAGGTGGGGGGCCATCATGCCCATCATGGGGCACATCCTTACCGGGAGGCCTACCTGGCTGCACAGCTGGCGGCACAGCTGGCGGCACAGCTGGCACGCCTAGCGGCCAAATCAGGGGCCGGGCGCCCAGCGCATGCAGCCGTCGCTCGACAGGTACATCAATCGAGTCTGGAGTGCATCCTCCTGCTGGCCACACCGGGCACCGCCTTGTTACACACTCAGCGACCGATTGCGACCTCTGAAATGGCGGAAGGAGCAAAGGTGATCCCTAGGCAATCGCTCAAGTCGTAAGCAAGTGACCTACTATCACCCAGCCCTGCCCTCACCGCCGGGTCGCTGCTCACCCGCACTGTCGCTTGCATCGCTGCAGCAGGAGGCCCCCGCCGTAGCCGAGATCATCCAGCAGCTGAACATGCTGCCCCACCCAGAGGGTGGCTACTACAAGGAAACGTTCCGGGACAGCCGAAAGGTATGGGGGCAGAAAGAGGCATGCTACCGCCTCGACCCCGTGTGTTCTGAACCCCACAGCCTGGCTATCCGGTGGCAGCCTGCTCCCTGCCTGCACACCTGCCGGCCCTGTGTGCTGCAGGTGGATGCCGGGCGGGCGGCATCGACTGCCATCCTGTACCTGCTGCCCGCGGGCGCCAAGTCCAAGCTGCACCGGTTGGATGCCAGCGAGTGCTGGCACGCCTACCTGGGTGCGCCTCCCCCTGTTGTTGCTTCCCCCGCGGCGCTTGCTGGCACCTGGCCACTGTACAGGTTCCAGGACACACTTGTCTGGTCCATGCTGCATCCTGGCTCTCACCAGCAACGGCCGTGCCCGCCTGGCTTTGCTGCCTGCTGCAGGGGGGGCCATCACAATCGTGGAGCTGGATGGCTCCTCCCCCAGCGGCACACGCACCACCGTGCTTGGGCGTGACCTGGCGGCGGGGCAAAAGCTGCAGCATGTGGTGCCGCCGGACACCTGGTTTGGCGCGGCACCCGCAGAAGGGACCGAGTTTGCGCTGGTGGGATGCACCGTGGCGCCAGGCGCGTGTCGGCTGCGAGGGGCATGTGGCTGTGGCTGCTGCCCTCGGTCGCTGAGATGCTGCAGTGGTGCTGGGTGGATGAGTTGTCAACCTCAGTCATCTCAACAAAACACCAGGATGTGCTCCTCTTGCTGCAGGCTTTCAGTTCAGCACATTTGAGATGGGGGAGAGGCAGCGCCTGCTCCAGGACTTCCCCGCGGCGGCATCCTGGATTGAACGGCTGATGGCAGAGTGATGGGACGGAGCGGCCAGCCCACAATTATCAGGCCACTTGCATGTGGCCAGATGTAATCAACTTGCGCCCAAGGCAGTTCTGTGGCGGCGCACAGCTGGCGGGTCATTCCTGGGCCAATCCATGGGGAGCTCCAAAGCGGCCTGATTCAATTCAGAATCGTGCCCTCCTTCTGTCCCAGCAAATTGCTTGTGCTGCAAGCCTCTACGCGCCGCGCCATTGTTGCGCGCGGGCGGGAGATGGCCCTCGCCACCAGCGAGGCTGCTGCTATGCGCAGTGTTGCTGGGCATGTAGCAGCGAGCCCGTGCCTGCCACCCGACGTTATCCGGCACTGCTTGGCTTCTCTCCCGACTCAGACCATCCTCACCGCGTCGCAAACTTGCAAAGAATGGAACCATGTGGCTAAGAGCGACTGGATTTGGACCTCGAGACTGGAGGTGGGGCTGCAGCGCGTTGCTGAACCTACGCTGCCGGCGCCGCTGCCATTACGCCGCTCCGGCCGCGTTCATTGGCTCATTGCCTTCTCTTCTTGCCATGGTGGTGCAGGCGGATTTCAGCAGGAGCGACGACATTGCTGGGAGCCGCTCTGGCAGCAGCAACCTGGGGTGCCCTGCGGCCCAGCTGTTTGTTGACGCTCCACAGGTGCGGGGGCTGACGGTGCGGCCATCTCCCCTGTGCCAATACCAGGTAGCCCACCACTCATCCACCCAACGCCCTTGGTCGCAGGCGCAAGGCCAACCATCCCTGCCTGCTGCCGGCGGGCTGCAGGGGTACCGGGAGCGCGCGGAGGTGGAGAGCAACTGGCGGGCGGGGCGGTGCAGCTGGGCGCGGCTGGAGGGCCACCGGGACTACGTCAGATGCGCGCAGCTGCAGGGCAGCCTGCTGGCCACCTGCAGCGGCTCCTACATGCAGCGCGACTGCAGCATCAGGTGATGGCGCGCCGGCTGCTGCTACTGGCTGAGCGCAGAAGCACGGGGTGTGCTAATGCAAGCAGGATGCCGTCCGCTGGGATGATGAGATGATCCCACAAGCCCCCCTTCGAGCGTGCAGGCTGTGGGATGTGGACGGCGGCGCATGCCTCGAGCACATGGCCGGCCACCGGGGCCCCATATGGAGCATGCAGTTTGACGGTCGCCGCGTGGCCAGCGGCGACGACGAGGGCGGCGTGCGGCTCTGGGACACGCAGTCTCACAGGTGGGGCGCGCCTGCTGCTCGGCTCCGTGTGCTTCCTGCAGGCTGGCTGCTGGCCACCCTGCCCACCCGTCGTCGTTCTCGGCACTGGCTGCCCCTCCGCTGCAGGGTGGGCGTGGCGTCTGCGCTGGAGCCCCACTCAGTCAAGTGCCTGTCCCTGGACGGCTGTCAGCTGGCGGCGGCAGGGGAGTCGGGCCTGCTGGCGCTGTGGTCGCTCAGCGCAATTCAGCATGCGCTCGATGTGGGTGGGGCCAGAGCGGGCTGGAAATCGGCACTGTTTCGCGGTTGAGACCAGCAGAGCTGGGCCTGGCAGAGGCTTGAAAAAGCCCCCGACAGCACAACCACCGCCCCTGCAGGAGCAGCACCAGGGCGTCGACGCGATGGATGCGTCCCAGGAGGGCGACAGCGAGCTGCCCTGCTGGGAGCCTGTGGCCCTGGAGGCGGCGGGAGTGCGCCCCTGCCTGGCTCGCCCGCCGCAGCCGCCCGGCGCCGGCCTGCCCGCCGACACCAGCTGCGTGCAGGTGCGGCCTGCTCGCTGCTGGCAGCCTGCCGGAGGCAGCTGTGCCGGGCAACACCCGCTGGGCCTGGGGCCAGGCCCTCCCGACTTGCGCAGCCCGCTGCTGCTGCTCTGCAGGTCGACGGTGGCCTCTGCGCAGCTGGCGAGTCTGGGGCCGGACGCGTGCATCTGTGGCGCACCGCTGACGACGAGCTGGAGTACCGGCGCGGGCTGGCGCTGCCGGGGGATGCCGGCGGGGTGGCCACCCTCTCCTTCCAGCGCCCCACCGGCTGGCTGGTGGCTGGCTGCGGCAGCGGCCTGGTGCGGGTGTGGGACATGAGCAGGTGAGTGCCTGCCCTGGCTGGCCAAGCGGGCATGCATGCATGCATGCATGCTGCTCCTGTGCCCTGCCAGATGCGATGCCTCATCTGCTCGGCCGACACGCATCCATCGCCCCGCCCCGCCGATGCGCCTGCCCGCAGCGGCGAGGCGCTGCGCGACCTGCTCGGCCACATCGCCGACGTGCTGTGCCACCAGCAGAGCGGCGGGCGGCTGGCCACGGGCGGCGCCGACCGCACGGTGCGCCTGTGGGACCTGCGGTCGGGCCAGCGGGAGGCCACGCACGTGCTGCAGCTGGGAACCTTCCCCTACTGCCTCCAGGTGTGTGGCAGGGGGTGTGCTGTGGCCCTCTGTCGGCGGAACCGCTCCCTGGGCGCCGCTGCCACCCCCTGTGCCCCAGCTGCGGGAGTGCAGCAGCCTGTTCCTTCAGTGGTCCCCTCCCTGTCCGCTGCGGCCCCCACAGCTGGACGACTGGCGGCTGGCGGTGGGCTGCGGCAACGGCACGGTTCAGGTGGCGGACTTGCGGCGGGCCGGCGCCACCAGCGGCAAGCTGGTTTCGCACACGCTGCTGCCAGCACACCAAGAGCGGGTGAGCAGGGGGTGGTGGGCAGGGGCAGGGGCTGGGCACCGCAGGCGAGCAGGCCAGGCGGGCCAGGCGGGGCAGTGGTACGCGTCAGCGGTACAAGACACAGCCGGGCACCCAGCCTCTCTGTCGTCCTGGTCCCTGCCATGCTGTGTGCGCAGGTGTGGGCCCTGGCCCTCAGCGACTCCCGCCTCGTCAGCGCCAGCCTGGATGCCGAGATCGTCGTGCGTTCTTTCCACCCCGCCCACATTGCCGACGTGAAGGCGGGCAGGCTGAGCGGCTTCTGCTCGGCTGTGGCGCATGGCGGCACGAGCTCCGCTTCCACCCAGGATCTTGAAGTGGACTCGGCTTATGGCGGCAGTGGCTCCGAGGAGGAGGAGGATGAGGAGGCATCTTCAGATGAGGAGGAGGATGAGGAGGCATCAACAGATGAGGAGGACGATGAGGAGGCATCTTCAGATGAGGAGGAGGATGAGGATGAGGAGAGCAGCGATGAGGAGGAGGAGGCCGAGGTTGCATGAGGCACGTTGCACATTAATTTATGCATATGTTTTGCGTTACACACACACAACAAACAGTGCATGACTGGGTGGTCGAGGGAGAATGGTTGAGGGGGGTGAGTTATACAATGCATTCGGACAACATTACTTGGCCAGCGGTACAGAGTTGCCGTAGCATGGCCCACTTTAGCAAGATACAGCAAGGTTCAAGGGCAAGGCACAACGAAATTAAGGGAAAAAAACTGGGGCCAGTGTCGATTTGCAGTTTACAGGTACATTCAGCAAGTTGCGCTAGCTTGCCCGCCCCTTGCCAGCCAAGCTGCCAGGGTCAGTGGCTGGAGAACTTGCGCCCAGAGTCCAGGCCGCGCCCTTGCAGCAGCCAGCTCGTGCGGCACATGTCGGCGCTGCAGCCCACCAGGTGCTCCCGCGACTCGTCCGTCAGGCGGTACAGGGCCTGCAGCGGAGCAGTACGGCAGGGGAGGTGCACGAGCGAGCGCCACCACACGCAGGCCTGAGATCTTCAATAATTAATTGTGGATCCACTTGAGCAGGTAGACGGCGACCCCTCCCTGCCAGCTGCCAGCTGCCACCCTGCGCCATGCCAACCCCCGCCCCGCCCGCCCACCCTCCCCGCCGCACCTTGGTGTGCACCCAGCTGGCGGGCCCGCCGCCGCGGCTCTCCAGGTCTGACGGCAGGCGCTCCAGGGTGATCGGCTCGGCATTGGGAGGGTTATAGACCGCCAGAAAGTCGTCCACGGTCCAATGGAACCACCTGAGAAGGGGCGCGGGTGGGGGGCCCAGCAGGCACAGCGGCGCTTCGGTACAGAGCATGCGACGGGGCACCGCGGGGCATTGGTTCCAGCAGGCCGGCTCCGTTGCTGGAGGGGAGCTCCCGTCCCCTGCCGCCGCCGCGGCGCTGTGGGCCAGAGCCCCTGCACAAGGGGCACCGGGCGCACCTCTGCAGGAAGATGCGAGCGGCGAGGCCGTGCGTGACCAGCACCAGGGTGCAGCCCTGGCCAAAGCGCCCGGCATTGATGTCGCGCACCAGGTGGTCCTCAAACAAGGTCATCCTGCAAGGAAGAAAGAAAGCAGGCGGCGGGGATGTAATGTACTGTGATGTAGTGTCCTGGGGCAGGAGGCGGGCTGCCACACCTGCTCCCACGGGCCCGCCTGCCGGCTCAGTGCGCCACCGCTCGTCGACCACCTCTCCCTCCCGCCTTTGCCCCGCTCCCCTCACCCCGCCTGCCCCGCGGCGCCCCCACACCTGTCGTACACGTCGGCGCCGCTCTCGCCGTGCGGGAAGCGGTAGAAGAAGCGTCCAAAGCGCAGCCGTTCCAGCTTCTCCCGCCGCTTGCCCTGCGCATCCTGGAAGTTCCCAAAGTCCTGCTCCCGCAGCTGCACCTCCTCCTGCACCCCCAGCAGCTGCTCAGGCGCAAACGCCTGCACCATGCCCTCTGTCGTCTGCAGGGGAAGCAGGAGGGAGGGGCGGGGCGGGGCAGGGCCGGGCTCGGCACAGCACGCGCCTCGCTGCGTCGCTGCGGCGGCGGCCCTAGCCTGGCACAGCTCCCTCGCAAGATCCGCAGCTGCAAGCGCAAACAGTCGGCCTCTTGCGCATGCAACATGCGCACTCTGCTGGCAGGCCGAGTCATGCACGGCTGCGGCATGGGTGCCCCCCACTTCCCCTTACCTGCTTGCAACGGAGGTAGGGGGAGGTGTAGAAGAAGAGGCGGGCTGGGCAGCCGTCTGCCTCCACAGCCGCCTTGAGCTTCTCACCCGCCTCCACCGCCTGCTGCCACCCCGTGGCCGTCTGCGGCGGGGGCAGGGGCAGGCGGGGGCGGGTGGTGAGGCGGTTGGGGCGAGGAGCCGAGGGATCTGGCACACCGGCCAGGGCTTGCCCCCCCAGCTGCCCGTCACAGCCTCTCTTTGGGCATGACGCGAGCTGTGAGTGCACGCCGCCGCCGCCGCCACGCATCAAGCCTCTCCCGCCCGCCTGGGCACACATGCGGTGCGGCCCGGCGCCAGCCCAGCAGCGGTTGCCCGCACCCACCAGCGGCACGCTGGGGTCGGGCGTGTGCTCATACAGGAAGGGGTCCACGTTTCCCTTGGACTGCGCGTGGCGCACCAGCACGATGCGGCGCGGCAGCAGCCGGTGGTCGGTTGGCGTGGCGGCCCTGCGCGGCGGGGGCAGGCACGGGTGGGGGAGGCACAGGCGTTGGTGGGCGGCGCGCAACCAGGCAGGCAGGTATCCCTCCCCGCTTCGCCGGCAGCAGCTGGCATGCGGAAGGCGCGCATGGAGCCCGCCTGCGCAGGCTTGCCGCCGCGGCGCAGCCTGGCGCGAGCCAGCAGCCCTGCGTGCGGCCGCCCTCACCAGCTGGTGCTGTGGAAGCGGGCGTCGTAGGAGCCCAGGCTGCGGCGGTCCACTATGGATGGGTTCATGAAGGCTGCCAGCGAGTCGCCAGCGTGGGGCAACACCAGCCGAGCGCCTGCCGCCGGTGCTTCCACTGCCGCTGCCGCTGCCGCTGGCGGCACTGCCGGCTCCCCCGGGGGCCGCTTGCTGCTCGCCCGGCCCTGCTCCAGCAGACGGATGGTGTGCTGCTGCTGCTGGATAAGGCGGATGGCCTCCTGCTGCGCCTCGTGCTGCTGCGTCAGCAGCGCCAGCGCCTGCTCCTGCCGCTCGGCGGCGGTGGACAGCTCCGCCCGCAGGTCGGCCACCTCCTGCTGCAGCGACTGCAGTATGCGCGTGTTACCATCGCTGTTGCCGATGCTGCTGCTGGCCCCTGTGTTGGCAGAGCCGCCTGTGGAGAGCAACTCGGTCTGCACCACTGGCGCAACGAGAGGGCCCGTGGCTGCTGGAGCACCGCCACGGGGCGATGCATGGATCGATGCAGTTCTCTGCCTGGGCCGTCGGCAAGGCCTCGGCGACAGAGAGCGAGGAGGCAGGGGCCGGCCTTGCGCCGCCCCTCGTGCGGCCGTTTGCGACATTTGCCGGTTTGCTAAGTGACAGCACACGATCGAGCACAAGGGATTACGGAGTTGATTTTCGCGCCCTGTGACTTGGCCACCTGGAGCCTGCACCTGGAGCTCAATGAGTGATTGAGGGGCACCCAGAGCTCCAACTGCGAGTGCTGTAAGCAATTGACCTGCTCCACACGAAAGATTCAGTCTTTACAGCACTCAGCAAGGGGTCCCCAAGCTGCCTGCGATCCCGCCTTCCCGCTAGCTCTACAGGCGCCACAACCAGTTGCTCTGGGTGCAGGAGGCCGCGCCATGACGGCCAGCACGCTGGCCTGTTCGGGCTACGCCCGAGGCACCAGCAGCTTGGCCAGCGAGCGCCGCCCCCGCAGCTTTGCTCGCAGCAGGCCCAGCCGCTGCGTGGCTGATGCGGCGGGGGAAGGGGGCAGCCTGAGCAACGGCACCAGCAATGGCTTTCCAGCGGCGGCAGCGGCCGGCGCAGGCGGGCTGCGGGCCAAGGCCACCGGCCCCGCTGTCTGCGACCCCTGCTCCTCCGACCCCGCCGCGGCGCCGCGCAGCGCGGTGCAGTGGCCGCAGAAGAGCGAGCTCTACATTCTGCGCTCAGACGGCCACTCGTGCACGCGTGAGACGGTGCAACGTGAGTCCCGCCAGCCCCCCCGCTTGCACAGCAGCTGGGGCAGCAGCCGGGCAGCAAAGCAGCTGCCAAGGCCAGTCCCCCAGGCTCAGGCAGGCGTCGCCTGTGCACACCGCTGGTGCATGTGTCGTGCCTGCGCAGCACCTGCTCACCCCGCTTGCCTCCCTGCCTGCCACCCCGCCGCCCGGCGCAGCCAGCGGCAACCTTCAGTTCGCCTGCCCCAGCTTGCAGCAGCAGCTGCTGGTGTGGAAGACGCGGCCGCAGCGGTGCGTAGCCCAGCCCCGCCTGCCCGCCGCCGCCGCCGCCGTGCAGCTGCCCCGTCGCCCGCCTTTGGTCTCCCGGCGCTCCCCGCCGGACTGTGCACACACTCCGGGCTGCCGGCCCTGCTGCCCCTGTCCCCAACTCCCCTGCCCACCCCTGCTCAAGTGTGTCCTCATCGGCCCCGCTGCCGGTACCGCTGCCGCAGAGTGATGGTACTGAAGAAGCTGGGGGACGAGCTGATGGAGGAGTATGTGGATGTGCTGCGGTACCTGGGGGAGGAGCTGGGCATGCGGGTGGTGGTGGAGCCGCACGACCACGCGGTGCTGGTGAGGGGGCCCCACGCTGTGCACGCTGCGCACGCTGCGCTGCGCCACGCACGCTGCGCTGCGCTGCTGGGCGTGCCGGCTGTTTTCTGGCTGGGTGCTGGCGGGCCCCCGCGCTCGCGGCGCCCAGGCAGGCGACGGGGGCGCGCGGCCGGGGGCCTGCTTGCGGCGGGGGCCTGCAGGCGGGGAACCTGCGTGCGCCGCCCTCTCGCCTCCGGCCCGGCAAGCTCACCACGTCCCCTCCCCCGGCCCCCTTCCCGCCCTCCTCCCGCCCTCCTCCCGTCCGCAGAAGGGCCTGTGCATGGGCTGGGTGGACACGTACCAGGAGCGGGACCTGGGCGAGCTGCACTCGTGCGTCGACTTCATCGTCTGCCTGGGCGGCGACGGCCTGCTGCTGCACGCCGCCTCGCTGTTTGGCAACGCGCTGCCCCCCATCATCTCCTTCAAGCTGGGGTCCCTGGGCTTCCTCACCACCCACAAGTGAGCGCGGGGGGGGGCGCCCCGCATGGGGCGGGCGCGGGCGCGCCGCCTCGATGCGTGCCAGTGGCGCCACCCGCGGCCGGCCTTCCAGTTCCTGCCCTCCCCTGCCTCCAACTCTCCCGTGCCTTCCCCGAGCCGCTCCTGGCCCTCCCTCCCCAATCTCCCTTGCCACCCCTACCACCCCCCCACACTTACACACCACCACCACCACACACCCCCCGCAGCTACGTCGACTACCGCCGCCACCTGCGCAACGTGGTGCACGGCTGCCGCGAGCTGGCCTCCTGCGAGCTGGTCAGCTCGGCAGACGGGCGGCCGCTGCGGGGCGTGCACATCACGCTGCGCATGCGCCTGCAGTGCGAGATTTGGAGGTGCGCGGCGCGGGAGGGGCGGGGCGGGGCGGGGTGGCGGGCGGGGTGCCCGGTGGGGTGCCCGGTGGGGTGCCTGGTGGGGTGGCGGGCGTGGCATGGCCTTGGCGCCACTGGCATGGCATGCCGTGCCCAATGACTGCCGCCGCCGCAAAGCCTGCTGCACCTTGCTGGCTGCCTGCCAGCCGGCGCTCACCCCCCAACC